CCATCCCCACCCGCAGCATCCTGACTAGTGGTGAGGGGAAGGGCTCCCCAGTCTCACATGAGCACCCCGCTCTGGGCCTCACGGCAAGATGTGTGCAGAGATGTTCGCCTTTCATCTAGACTTGGGGTGTCGGCTTCATCTCCGGGGTGTCTGCCGAGGCTGACTAGGAGGCTGAGTCTGGAGGACAAGTGGCTCCAGAACCGAGAACCGAAGCACTCCCCGCAAGTGAGGTCTGGCACCTCGGGCAGGGGTCCCCCAGCGAGGCCCGCAGCCACCAACGGGACCCCTGGGTGATTTCAGGGCAGAGGGCGGGAAGCCAGGTGAGCCTCAGCACCCACAGTGCCGGGGGCTGGCCTCAGGGGCCTGAGGAACCGAGATGGGGTCCAGTGACAACCGTCTGGAGCAGGGCTTCGGGCAGAGTCGGAGCAAAAACCAGGTGGCGGGCAGGTGGGGAGAGGCTGCGGGTGCCCGCCTGCTGGTCCTTCAGCTGCGCCCTCTCGGCAGCTGGGGCGCTGGGGCGCACTGTGCGCAGTCGGGTTGGGGATGAGCGAGCTGGTGCTCACAGACTTCACCGCAGCTCAGCTGGCGCCGCGCTGCCCCGACGGGACCCGGAGGGCGTGCAGGCCCTGCCTAGGCCCTCACCCCACGCCATCGCTCCCCAACTGCACCGGTGTCTCTGCCCAGCCAAGGCCAACCCTCCACGCGGCCAGGCCCTGCCTCTCCCAGCCTTCCTCTCCTGATTCCCCCTCTGCGAGGCCCTCCTCTCTCCGCCATCGCCAGCCCCGCGTCTGCACTGGATCTTTCCAGTCTCTAGGCCAGTGATGGCGAACCTATGACACACGTGTCAGAGGTGACACGCGAACTCATTTTTTTGGTTGATTTTTCTTTGTTAAATGGCATTTAAATATATAAAATAAAGATCAAAAATATAAGTCTTTGTTTTACTATGGTTGCAAATATAAAAAAATTTCTATATGTGACACGGCACCAGAGTTAAGTTAGGGTTTTTCAAAAGGCTGACACGCCGAGCTCAAAAGGTTCGCCATCACTGCCTAGTAGCTCACATTCCCTAACCCCAAACACCAGCCAAGAAGCCCTTGGGCTGCTACCCAGGCTTCACCCCCTCTAATGAGGGCTGGAGAGGGTGCGGGCAGACTGGACGGTTGTGGATCACTTAAATATCTTACCTTGTGCAAATATTCAAATAACTGAATCGTAACAAAGCCAGAATCTTCTCAAAACCCACGGCCCCTCCAGCTACTGCCTCACTCCTCTCCTCTTCCTGCCGTCTACTCACCCGACCCATCCAGGGAGCCCCCATCACCTCCAGTCCCCGAACCACCAACCCCCTGTGGGCAGACCCCGGAGTCATTCCCTGTCGCCCCCCTATCACACCCCCCTCCTGGCCACCTCTCCTCCCGACACTGTCCCATCTCTGGGTCTCTGGGACCCCACACTTCAGTTCTCCTCCCTCACCAGTTTCTCCTCCCAAAATAAAGTCTCTGGCTCTGGCCCTGAACCTTGACTCCTGTATCCAACTGCCTACTTGACATGAACTTGGATTCTTTTTTTTTTTTCATAGAAACGTAGGTTTATTTCTATAGAGACATGCTGAATACAAAGAGGGCTGCAATAAATGAGTAATCGTTAACATAAAATAATATAACATTTTAATAAAAATTAATATTTTTTCTTGAACATTAACTTACCAGACAACCAAACAAGTCAGTCCAAGACTAATGACGTGGCAATTGGCCGATAAAAATCTGAACTTCGATTCTTAATAGAAATTAATTCCAATGTGTCCACAACAGAACTCTTGATTTCCCCTCTAAGCCACTCCTTCCCACGTGGCCTCATCCTCAGAGGACTGCTCAAGCCCAAACCTAGGACTGACTCCTGCCTTCCTTCGGGGCCAGGACCTCCCAGGACCTCCGCAGACCCTGGGGTGTGTCTCCTCTCCCCCCACCCCCTCCGGGCTCGGCATGTCCACAGCTTCCCCAGTGGTCTTCCTCCCTTACAGTCCGTTCTTCCCTGAGAACCCAGGTGGTCCTCCTCAAACCAAGAGCCAATCATGCCACTGTGAGGACAACCAATGAAAAACAAGAGGCTTAACACCCCTCCTCCCGTCAAAAGTATAAAGGCACCTCCTTCCCCTCCCTTTGCTGAGAGCACTCACTCTAGAACACGTGTGATTGGATGCTTTTTCTCTCTCTGAATCGTGTGTGAATCCTTCCAGAAGGTAAACAAGCCTGTGACCAGCTTTGTAAGCCAAGACGGTTTTTCTCAAGCACCTGGGAGCCATCTCTTCGAAAGGCCATCCAGGGAGACAGCGCCCCTACCTGGGTGCGGGGCGGGAGGGGGGATCCACCAGCTGTGCCTCCCTCCAAGCTGCAGCACCAGCTCCTCACAGGCAGGGGAGTTTGTTTCCCTCTGGATAAGGCCCCCCCCGTGAACTCAGGCTGTCTCCCCGACTACAGGCCCGCGGTAAGCTGTGTGCTGTCAGTGGGGCTGCGGCTAGTCAGCATGCGACCTCCGGCTGTGCGGGTGGCAGCCTCTTTCTGTCTGACTCTCAGTGGCTGCCTGTCGCTGCATCCTGTTCTGGCCACATGCCTAGTCAATAACACAATAATAAAGGTGCTTTCTCTCTCCACTGCCTTGTACAGGGGTTTCCTGGGTCAGAAAATTTTAGTTTTAATTATATTTCCCCAACGCCACCCTCTGTGGCCTCCCAGTGCACTTAGAAAAAACCCTGAAGTCCACACATTGCCTGGAGAGGTGCTGTGTGATAGGAGCCAGCCTTGGTTTCTGGCTGCAGCCTTACCTCCTACTCCACATTCAACACACAGAGTCCCCCAAAGCCCGCCCCTTCCCCAGGGTGGGGGACCCTCTCCTAGATCTTTTCATCTTTTCACCATGCTCACCCGTCTCAGCTCACACCACCTCCCAGTCCTTCCATCCCTGTCTCAGCTCACACCACCTCCCAGTCCTTCCATTGCTGTCTCAGCTCACACCACCTCCCAGTCCTTCCATTGCTGTCTCAGCTCACACCACCTCCCAGTCCTTCCATTGCTGTCTCAGCTCACACCACCTCCCAGTCCTTCCATTGCTGTCTCAGCTCACACCACCTCCCAGTCCTTCCATTGCTGTCTCAGCTCACACCACCTCCCAGTCCTTCCATTGCTGTCTCAGCTCACACCACCTCCCAGTCCTTCCATTGCTGTCTCAGCTCACACCACCTCCCAGTCCTTCCATTGCTGTCTCAGCTCACACCACCTCCCAGTCCTTCCATTGCTGTCTCAGCTCACACCACCTCCCAGTCCTTCCATTGCTGTCTCAGCTCACACCACCTCCCAGTCCTTCCATTGCTGTCTCAGCTCACACCACCTCCCAGTCCTTCCATTGCTGTCTCAGCTCACACCACCTCCCAGTCCTTCCATTGCTGTCTCAGCTCACACCACCTCCCAGTCCTTCCATTGCTGTCTCAGCTCACACCACCTCCCAGTCCTTCCATTGCTGTCTCAGCTCACACCACCTCCCAGTCCTTCCATTGCTGTCTCAGCTCACACCACCTCCCAGTCCTTCCATTGCTGTCTCAGCTCACACCACCTCCCAGTCCTTCCATTGCTGTCTCAGCTCACACCACCTCCCAGTCCTTCCATTGCTGTCTCAGCTCACACCACCTCCCAGTCCTTCCATTGCTGTCTCAGCTCACACCACCTCCCAGTCCTTCCATTGCTGTCTCAGCTCACACCACCTCCCAGTCCTTCCATTGCTGTCTCAGCTCACACCACCTCCCAGTCCTTCCATTGCTGTCTCAGCTCACACCACCTCCCAGTCCTTCCATTGCTGTCTCAGCTCACACCACCTCCCAGTCCTTCCATTGCTGTCTCAGCTCACACCACCTCCCAGTCCTTCCATTGCTGTCTCAGCTCACACCACCTCCCAGTCCTTCCATTGCTGTCTCAGCTCACACCACCTCCCAGTCCTTCCATTGCTGTCTCAGCTCACACCACCTCCCAGTCCTTCCATTGCTGTCTCAGCTCACACCACCTCCCAGTCCTTCCATTGCTGTCTCAGCTCACACCACCTCCCAGTCCTTCCATTGCTGTCTCAGCTCACACCACCTCCCAGTCCTTCCATTGCTGTCTCAGCTCACACCACCTCCCAGTCCTTCCATTGCTGTCTCAGCTCACACCTCACCCCCCCTCCCAGTCCTTCCATCACTGTCTCACTCACACCACCTCCCAGTCCTTCCATCGCTGTCTCACTCACACCGCCTCCCAGTCCTTCCCATCATTGTGTATCACTTAACCTTGGTTTCGTCTGGAAGGTTGTTATAGTCCGTCCTTACCTTGTTGATTTGTTTACCTGTTTATTGCTTGTCTTTCTCTGTGAAAATGCAAGCACTGACCTTTGTCCACTGTATTCACTCTCAATCCCTAAAGGCTAAAACAATGACTAGCACATAGTAGGTGCTCAATAAATATTTCAGTAAAGGAATTTAAGTGGCACCCTTGGTGTTTGGTTGCTCTGAGTCCTCCCTTCCTACTTTATTTTAAATGACAACAAGCTCACATGAGCCAATTGTGAGGTGAAACCATATTAATGACAAAGACAATGTCCTGGTTAAGGACAACGGGTGCCTTGTCCTCCCAGCACTGAGGCCCCACAGTCATCGCTCTGATAAATGAGAGAGCAGAGCCACCCCAGGCCGAAGGCAGGAGGAAGGAGAGAGCATCGGCTGCCCACCTCCTCCTCCCATCACCCTGCTCCGTCAGCCCCGCAGAAGGCTTGTGGACCTGCCTACAGACCAGGGAGCTGAGGTTCGGGAAGTAATGTCATTGGTCTCACGGTGCCAGTTACAGGCGCCCAGTCTCTGGAGCTCCTTCCTGACACCAGGGAATGCCACTTGCACTGACACTTCGAGTGGCTCAGAGGAGCTGCGGGGAGAACTCAGCTCGGGGAGGTGGCTCAAGGTTCCCAAAGCTTCACCTGAGTTTTACGGAGGGGAAAGGAAGCACACTCACCTCTCTTTCTCCTCCCCTCCTTTCCTTCACCCTCCTCTTCCTCTGTTTTCTGTAGACTATCATTATTATAACACCTACAATTTACATTATAACCCGTTTTATTCATAATGTCCTCACCCTGGCCTGCTCTGGATTAATTCCATTTTCAAACTGGATTTGAACTCAAAAGAAAAACAATTGAAAAAACCTGATCTTGCCCCAACATAACACTGTGATTCATTTCCTGTTTTTCCTTTCCACTGTTGTTTTTTAATAAAGGAATGGGCTGAAAGAAATATTTGCGCAATTATGAGTCACCCTTTCTAAACAATTGCCATTGCCCAAAACATAAATGCCCCATTTTCGTCGCAGCTCATGTGTTACCGAGCAAAGGCAGCGGCATTTCTCGGCTGCTCACCATCTACATCCGGTCAAAGTGCACAGGGGGCGCCTGTGCTCCCGGCAGGCGGCCCGGCAGGTGGCGGGCAGCACCGCCTCAGTGGGCCACTCTTCAGTTCAGTTGCCCGGTTGCTTCTAGTGTTTAGATTCTCAGGTAAAAACAAAACAAAAGATAATAAAGAAAAACAAACACAACCTGCTGCAGTCATAGTCTCTTTCAAATGCTACATGTTAGCTGCTGTTATTCAACAGGAGGGAAGATTTTCTTCACTCATTTTTCACTCAATGGGCTGTCCTGGGGATGGTGGTGAAAAAACAGACAAGGTCTGTCTGTCTGAGAAACTGACCTTGGATTGGAGTGGCTTAGTCAGGATGGGTTAGGCTCTGCTGCGGTAACAAGTTAACCCCGAAATGCCTGTGGTTAACACAACAGGAGGTTGTGGCCCGCAAAGTCAGAGGCTGCGGCTACAGAGCAGCTGTGGCAGGAAGGAGCCTGCAGGTCACACGAAGGTCACCGCGCTCACTCCCCACTCACCGCTGGAAAGGTGCTGGGCCACGCGGAGGAATATTGTTATCTGTTGAGCAGCAAATGTCTGTGTCCCGTAGACAAAGACAGACAAGAAACACATGAATAAGCAGACGGAAGCCACCTGGGAGAAGGGCAGGCGTGCTGAGGCGGGAGAATCTGCTAGCGTTTAGAGATGGCAGGTGAGGAGGTGCCCCAGAGAAAGGCTCATCACGCATTCCTTGTCACCGCCTCGGAGACCTGCCCCCGACCTGCAGCGGCGCTGGGCGTCCCCAGGAGCCAGCGCTG